GATGCAGATAACTATTGGTTACGATATTGATAACTGTTGTTGTCCAGCTTTCCCCGTTGCGAGCGTGCACTAATCTGTAGCCTGGGTGCTGCACTGCTCTAGTGACTGCTGCACCTTTCCCCCCGAAAATATCACGTTAACAACAACAACAACCCTTTAGAAAATGTAATTCCTTTGTGGATCCTCTTGATCTGCTTTCTCCGTGTTTCTTTTTACAATTCTCAGTGTTTCAGTCTTAGGCACGTTGCACGCGAGTTAACCACGCCCACTTATTTGCATTTCGCGGTATACACGGAATAAAAAAATCTGTTACGGTTGACATTTTCTACCGCGGTAACGATATATACCGTCATACCGCCCAGCCCTAAATGTCGGTAACCAAACGGTTGATGGGCCCCATTGATTTCAATAGTATTTTTTTTCCTCCATGCTATGGAAGTCAATGGGGCCCATCAACTGTTTGGTTACCGACATTCTTCAGAATATCTTCTTTTGTGTTCAGCAGAAGAAAGAAATTCATACAGGTTTGAAACAACTTGAGGGTGAGTAAATGATGACTGCATTTTGACTCGATAACTTATAAACATGTTCAGCCCACATTATTTCAGCTTATTTTTAAAATCGTGTTTAAAAGGTTACTCAGCCTCTGGTCAGAGCCTGACTCCACCCACTGGCAATATTTGAAAAATGCTGGAAAAGTGGGCAGAGCCCAGCGGAGGGGCGTGCTCCTGAGACGCGTCTCTCTGTAGGCAGGGCGTGGTGGTGAGCTGGTGCCTGCTTACATCACGCAGCACCACAACATCCAATAGGAAAATTCAACTGCAGCAGCCACCGTTCATCCTGAAGAGGGCAGCACACAGACGTTTTTGCACCATATATTGTAGAATTAAAACACTTTATACCCAAATGTCAAAAAATGGACTCGAATCAATGAACAGCATTAATAAAGCCCCAGTCTTACAGATCATTAACTAAAAAAAGTTGTTTTAGGGTTTAGTTACCCTTTAACAGTGGAATTCCGGGTGGAAAAACTACATCACCCATGATGCTGTACAGAAAATTACACCAATCAGAGAGTCGAGATGCTCCAAAGTAGCTCTTTAGCTCTGCCCACTCCCATAATGCACTGCAAATGACATAATCGAGTCGATCTCCCTATGCTTTCAAAAGGCTGACATGTTTATATATATATATGCATATTTTGTAATAAATTAATATAAGTATATATATTTTAATACATACAGTATAATCGACAGTTGTAATTGTAAACAGTCTTGTACCTTTTGTCTGATTTTCAAAAACCTTTGTACTTTAAATCAAAGTTTGTAGTTTTGTGATTCTCCTCGCAGTTGATTGGCTTGGTTCATGGCTTATAACTCTTTAACAATGACTATTTTAAAATCCCTTTGAGAAAAATGAATGAAAAAAAAAAATTACGGAACCAGCGACGCTGAAAAGGGGGATGGGCACTGTTGCACTCTATAGATTGGTGCGTGTATGACATCACTTTGTAGTCCAAAAAGCGGAAACGAGTTAGCATTTTAGCACTTCCTGTTCCATCTTCCTGAAGTCAATGGGTTTTTTGAATGGGGTTTTGGTTAAATTGCTGAAATAAGGTCTGTGGTGAACACAAGCTCAAGACACTTTCACGTTTTGTTCTACGACATAAAATACATCAATATTACGCCACTCGAGATTTTTTGAAGCTATTACATGTCTTGAAAAAGGCAGTTGCTAACAAATGGCTAAATGGGACTACAGAGGCTGTCGAGGAGATTAAACGTCATCAAGTAGAACAGGTTGGTAAACTCAGTCCGCTTTTACAGCCTCATTATGCTTATAATTGTGCTCTTATAAACTATTCTAACTCAAACGTTCTGGGAAAATGTTTTTAGATAAAAACTTAAAGAGTTTTCTGAAGTTTAGTGATGGGGACGTTAAATTCATGGGACCGTTGTGTAGTTTGTTTATAGCCTACCTTTAGCTTTTTACTTCTGGCGACTGCATTTAGGCTTCAAAAGTGGTGTTCATCTGTGATAATTATCTTGATGGACAAAACGTGCAAGTATCATAAACTTTTGTTGATCACAGAGCTTGTTTTTAGCGATAATCCAAAAGCCTATGGGAAAATCCTATTGGGTTTTTCTCGAGGGAACCAGTGTGATGCGAACTGCCGGCTGGCCTACAAAGTGACATCATACCTGCACCACTCTATTTGCCCTCACAGAGATTTACCATGGTAACCATAATTCCCACCAAAATAGCCAAATTACCACATTTTCCTGTAGTGCTACCAGAGTAAAATCATAATAAATGAATTTAGGAATGTAGTAAAAGTCTTTGTCACTTCATTTCTTTGATGACAGTTGTTGCTAATACCAGGTTAGCATCATTTTATCATAGTGTTATCAACTGTGGTTAATATTTGTGCACATTAAACACCCAATGCAATTTTTTCCCGCAGGTTGGCGAGACTATTGGAATAACGGAGGAGATCATGGGTTTAACTATTCTAGCGGCTGGTACCTCCATTCCTGATCTCATCACCAGTGTTATTGTCGCCCGGAAAGGTCTCGGCGACATGGCCGTCTCCAGCTCAGTCGGCTCCAACATATTTGACATCACTGTGGGGTGAGAGATCTTCATCATCAACTCAATAATCCTCATTTTATTGCGTCGACTACCTAAAACAAGCTTCTAATACATAGCCCTGTGTCTGTTCACTGTCTCCAGCCTGCCATTTCCTTGGTTACTCTTTGCAATCCTGAACGATCTGGCTCCAGTGACCGTGAGCAGCAACGGTCTGTTCTGCGCCATCGTTCTGCTCTTCCTCATGCTCCTCTTCGTCATTATCTCCATCGCTGTGTGCAAGTGGAGGATGAGCAAGCTGCTGGGTTTCTTCATGTTCCTGCTGTACTTTGTGTTTCTGGTGGTCAGCGTAATGCTGGAGGACAAGGTTATCGTCTGCCCAGTCTCCATCTGATTCCTTTATCACGCCTGCCGTTGTTCGTTTTCCAGGAACAGACCCTCCTTTATTGCTCCGAAGGCACTCCAGGGCATACGAGTTATAACACAGAAGCTGCGCTGTGGCACTGCATCTATATATCTACTGACGTCTGAGTAGCAGGGCTTTCCAAGCAGTAGTTTGTTATGGGAAAGTAGTGCAATATTCTGCATGCACTCTCAAAAGCAGTACATAGTGACTTGATGTACTGTAGATTTTAGCCATTTTTAATATGCTGCAGGATGAGGCTGGACTTTAAGAGCGAGGAGACACCACATCCAATGGGGAGGCAGACATAAGTGGGGAATGTCTACAGACTCAGGAAAGGACCTTTGGTGCAAAGATGCAATAGCAAATAAATCAAGATCCTGGTACTGTGCTTTAAAGCTCATGATATCATAAGCCTTGTGTTGCACAATAACTTAAGAAAGAAGGAAGAAACAAAGCTCTATATTTGCTTTGTCCGAATGCTGGTCCTTTCTGATCGTTATCTGATTATTTTCATTCTGAGTATAATATATCATATAATTTATTGAATAGACTTGTAGTCTTCAGAAGTCTAAAACTGCAAATAAACAGTATCCGACACAGATTTGAAACGCTCGCACTATTGAATATAATCAACCACATTAATGATGCTACTTGAAAATGCGATATTTTGTATGCTTATTCTCTGGGACTGATGTTTAATTTGATGTGATTTGTTTGGCGAAATCCAATGAATGGATGAATAGTGCAAGACATTCTCTGCTTGTAGAGGAGAACCAGTTATCACTCTCTTCTCACAGTCAGTTACAGTTACAGGTCTTCATCATCATCCTCTGTCTAGAACATTGAGCAGGGTTCATGAACTTTTATTGACTCTACTGTTATCAGAGCTGCCAGCCGGTGTCAATGTAAGTAGATCTGTACGCCGCACTTTGCAGAACTCTTTAAGAATCTCTGCCTGTACCTCTCATTCCTGTCTTAAATAATAATTTCGGATGATGGGATGAAATTTGGAAGTGAAAGTACTAAAGAAATGGAGCACCCAACAGCTTTGCAGTTGACTGTCATTCTTAGTTAAATACAAATGTATCTATCCATTCATAATTTCAGTATATTTACATGAGTGGTGGACAAAATAAAATTATTTCTAAACCTACATGTAAGCGGTATTACTTGGAGGATTTCTATTTATTCGGGAATTATTTACAATTTTCAATTTGAGCCTAAATGCTGTTTTGTGGTGCATGCGAAACAATCATTGGAGGAAGTAATTAATAGTTTTTGCTTCAGATTTTTGAGATGTTGATATGGTCCTTGCCATAAATCATTGTTAAAATAATTTATCTCACATGTTTTGCTTATGAGGGCAATGAAGCTTCAACCCTGCTTATAGTACCAACTGTACCATGGTGATGTATTTAGCTACAAATGTTATGATGCTTGTATTGCAAAGCCATTAAAACATACATTACATTGTAATTTTACTTCAGCACGTTAGAGACAGTGAAACACTTACCTACAACTTTGGCTGATGTTATTGTCTGGTGGTTTAGCTTTGTTTGTGAGATTAAACAATAAATATCGAACCCCTTCAGTACCACAGAATATATTAGATCATTTTAATATTATATAAAATTACATAATTTAGTAATTTCTAATGGTCATTTCATCTTATAAAAATAAATAAATACCCATAAAGTTAGACTACAGCTGTGTCAAATGCTAACAGGCGCGATTTAAAACAGTTAACGTTACTAATGTAAATAATTAATATTTGAGGAGAGGATGATACAGTTACTATTAGAAAAGAGACCTACATTTTTAGCCTCAAACATATTGTCAGTCTAAAACTTTTCCGCTTTGTTTTTAGCGGTCAATGGCATGTGATTCAAGACATATTTCAGTGGATGGCGATAGTGAGAAGCTCCTAACACCAGAAACACGGAAGCGGAAGTGTGATAAGAATGATGATGCACTGAGCTGTTACATTTGTTTACATCAGACTTTATTGGTAAAAGACACGTACCTGTCTACAGTGGGGCATTTCAGACCATATTACTCGAGGATAAAGAAGTGATTTTTCCACCACAACTGGAGAAATGAGGAGCTCAGGAGTTTTATTACTTCAACTTTTGCTGTTGATTGTGCCTCACATCCGCTGCTGGAATGATGGTAAAATGTCTTTTATATAAACCATACAGCTAAATAAACAATCCTAATCAAATCAGAGATCTCAGAGAATAACTTATAGATGGGTCAGTCGGCTGTAAAATAAGTTTGTATTGGACTTACTTTATATTTGCATTGAAGTTTCAGCTTTGGTGGATGCTGTTGTTAACTTAACCTTACCCTGCTGAGACTCAGAGACAGTATTTTTGTTCATTTCGAAATCGAGTTCACATTTTTATCTTTTTTATATATCAAATATTTTTTTGGATGTGTCCAAAACTATCATTTAAGTTCATGTGATGATATTTTAGTAATACTAGAAAAACAAGAAGAAAAAGAAAGACGTTTTGTAAGTTACCTTTTTGCCAAATGTGTCTTTGATAAATAATGTTTTTGAGGTGGGGGATGGGTGGCCAATATGATAATATTAATATGTAATGATATTTTGTGTTACTAATACCTATTATTAGTGATACGAAAATGATAATAATTATACTATTTAAAGAAAGTGGAAAATATCAATAAAATATGTGCATTTTTGTACTATATTTATTTATAATAAAGGTCTTTGCACACTGAGTCCGAAATTTTCGTATGCGTTTTTTCGTATTTGTGATTCGGTGGCTGGCTCTGAATATTGTCAAAAACACCATTCAAAATGGTTGCTACGGATGCGAAAAACGCAGAAAATCGAACCCGATCCGAATTTTTTTATGACGGACGAAAGTTTCTTAGGCAGTGTGTTAGCGTGATTGACATTGAGTTTTTTTTAACAAAATATTTATTTTTTAACGTGCGAAAATTTCGGACAGTGTGCAAGGATCTAAGGAGGATGGTTTTTGGGGTGTGGCAGATATGTGTAAATATATTATATATTATTAATATTTGATACTAATAACAATAATAAGAAGAGAAAAGATGAAAATATTATATATATATATATATATATATATATATATATATATATATATATATATATATATAATTTATACATAAATACTCTATAATATATTTATGCACAAAAACTTTTGTTAGATGCAATTAATTACAATTAATCGATTTGACACTAAACAAAATATAAATGTATAAATGTATAAATACAAACCAGAAGGAAAATATAAATGAAATATTTCATAAGCTTTGTATCTTGAAGAGGGCAGTTCGGTGCAGATGCAGACAGACAGATGAGAAGAAGTAATAATACAGTCTTTGTTCTTTCAACAGACGCTGTGTTACTGCGTGATGTTCAGGTGCTGACGCTCTACAAAGGACGCTACACCACCGCACGCCGCTCCAGCCCCGTTCTACAGCTGCAGTGTGCTGGAGGGACCGCTGGCTGCGGGTCGTTTGTTCCAGAGGTGGTGCAGTGTTACAACAGAGGATCAGATGGCATAGACACACAGGTCTGGCTCAAAAATTCCCGCTTGAGTACAGTCGGTAACTGTCTCGGACCTATTCATAGTATTACTCTCTTTCTTTCTCTCTCTCTCTCTCTCTCTCTCTCTCTCTCTCTCTCTCTCTCTCTCTCTCTCTCTCTCTCTCTCTCTCTCTCTCTCTCTCTCTCTCTCTCTCTCTCTCTCTCTCTCTCTCTCTCTCTCTCTCGCTCTCTCTCTCTTTATAGTGGGAATGCAAGGCTGACATGGACAACTTGTACAGGTTTGGGCGCGTGGAGGTCTCCTGTGAGGGCTATAGCAGTCCTAATGATGCCCATGTACTGAGAGGCTCGTGCGGTCTTGAGTACACGCTAGAGCTCACGGCAGAAGGGAAGCAGCAGAACACTCATGGCTCGTCTGGCTTCTCAGGCTTTGCCTCTAACTTCTTCCAAGGCTCTTCCAATCAAAAACAGCAGCATAGAGGAGACCCTTATCAGCAGGCTGACAGCCAGTATTCCTCCCAGAACAGCCCGTCTGGCGATGGAGTGGGTGGGCTGATAGCAATAGCATTCCTTTTGCTGGTGGCATATGTTGTATACAAGATGTTTCTGTGCAGTCCTTCTCACGGCCACCAAGGTTACAATGCAGATGGGACTCAGGGATACGGCGGGGCCTCGGATAACAGCCATGGCATGGGACCGCCACCTCCTGGATTTAAACCAGATTATTACTCAGCCTCAGGTAATAATCTATTCAAAGAGCAAGAGTTTGGTGGGACATTGTAATTCATTGTGATATTATAATAAAGGATCAGGTGACACTGAAGACTGGAGTAATGATGCTGAAAATGTAGCTTTGCCGTCACAGGAACTAATTACATTTTAAAATATACTCGGTTATTAGAAAACGGTTATTTAAAATTGTAATATTTCTCAATTTTACTGTTTTTATTAATCCAATAAATGCAGGCTTGGTGAGCATAAGCGACTTCAAATACATTAAACTCTTTATGATTCCAAACTGAAACTGTAGTGTAGGGACTATAATATCCTAGTGTGCATAATAACCAAATATGCATAATATTTGCATATTTATTTGTTGCTAGTGTATAAGATTTCTGTTTTGTGGGTTCTCTCAGAAGACCACTCCAGCTCAAGGCCCGGGTATGGCTTTTCCGATACGTACACCAGACCTCAGAGTTCCTCGACCGGTTTCACTGGTGGAAGCAGAGCTGGTGGGGGTGGATTCTGGACTGGAATGGGCACAGGAGGAATTCTTGGATATTTGTTTGGGAGTCAGAGGTAAGAAAGCAAATTTTTCTCACACATAATTTGCAACAGGTCATACAGTTACACAGAAGTCACTTTTAAACCGAGCAGCTTTCAATTGGCCGGCCAACCAATTAGAACTCATTGTGAAATTCCTGATGCCATGAATTCTTATTTTTGTTGGCCAATCCAGAAGTTAGCATCACTCTGGTTCCCTCGATGAAAACCCAATAAGATTTTTCCATAGGCTTTTGAATTATCACAAAAAATAAGCTCTGTGATTAACAAAAGTTTATGGTGTTTAAACGTTTTGTCCATCAAGATCATTTTTAAAAATGAACACAAAGCCTAAATTCAATAACCTTAGGCTAAATACGAACTACACCACAGATGTGTGACTTCAACGTCACCGTCACTAAGCTTCCAACAACTCTTGCAAGTCTTTATTTTAAAAAACATTTTCACTGAAAGTATGAGTTATAATAGTTTGCAAGAGCGTGATTATAAACACAACAAGGCTGTGAAAGCGGACTAGTGAGTAGATAAGTTTAGCTCATAGACTGTTAAAAGATGGACGACGCCCCTTCACAACGCCCTCTTCCATTGGTGAAAAGTGAAGCCGCCAAAGTCCTAATATGGCGCTGACATCTTGCGCAGATTTGGGACCTGCTTCTGCGCAGTAGTGAGCAGGAAGTAAAGCCGTGATATCAAGGTCCCGCCCTCACTCCCACAGAAATGGTTAATACAAAATTTACTGTGTGAAATATACAGTTATGGACATGTAGAAATTAAAGTTGAAGCTCCAATCTCCTGCCGAAAATCCCCAAAAAAGTCTGTTGGTCCCTCAGTGACTACTTCGTTCACAGCTGTCAATCATGACGTCACATTCCTGTTTTTTATAGCATCAAATAACTAAGACCAAACTTATTTTAAAAAACGAACACTTAAACTTAAATCAGCGTGATAAAAACTACCTAAAATGACAGAAAACATCTTTGAAAAAAATGTATTTGAAGTGTAATTTGATTGTTTAGTTTCCATCGCGTCCATTAGACTTCATGCCAGGGGAGGCGGGCTTTATGACCTATACTGGGACCAGCCACCGGGGGGGGGGGGGCGATCGAGACGCTTTGGCTTCACTTTTCAGCACTTATGGGCATGCTTGGTTTAGCTGATGATGTTTAATGTCCACCACAATGTCGGTAGTCCCATTTAGACACTTGTTAGCAACCGCCTTCTTCAAGACATGTAAAAGCTTAAAACTCATCAGTAATAACTCACTCATGATTTTTTTTTTTTAATGTTGTAGAATAAAACATGCTTGTTCATCACAGACCTTATTTCAGGCTTTTAACTAAAATCACATTAAAAAAAAACATTGATTTCAGGACGATGGAACCAGAAGTGCTAAAATGCTAACTCGTTTCTTTGTTTTGGTCTACAAAAATACGTCATCCCTGCACCACTCTATTCCGCCCAAGAAAATCCCAAACTATGGGAAATGTGACCACACCTTAACAGTATTTATCTTTTATTTAAAGGTGCATTGCGCACCTCTCTGAGTTTTTGCAGAACTATGCCCCCCTCTGGCGACAAGCGAAACTGCCTTACTGTCTTTGTCTTGCGTGGAATTTGCGTTGGGGTTTATGAACTACAAGCCGGTCTCATTGAATCCATCTTCTAATTTTGTCGAAAGTTGACTGAAGTTTTGTCGCTCGAGTTGTCTTCGCTAATACGGAGAATGGCGGCGAATACACAAACCTGCCAGACATAGCCAGGGGAGCGTGAACGCGCATGACGTCACGCCCAGTCTCACGATCCGGCCCGAATCCCTCTTATTTATTTTACTGTACTGGATTATAGAGGCAATCGCAGTGATCAGAGAAGGGCTCATTCAGCCCATCAGGCAATTGTTTAAGCATTTATGGGTTAGAAAAACGGGTATTTTTAACATGAAATTTTGCGCAATGCACCTTTAATGGCACTGGAACTGTTTCCAACTGTTGTCATTAATCATGACAGTTTGGCTCTTGTTTGTATTTTTGGTAAGATTTATACTTGCTAACAACAAATGCACTAATTGACTTTTATGTTGATCTTAGACGCCAGCCACCAATGGGGTTTGCTAGACCATCTTATTCCAACATTCCTTCTCCTGCACCAAAAACAAGCTCAGGAACACGAACCGCCTCAGGTAAACTCCAGCAAATAATAAAGCTATAAACTCTATTACAGATATTAGATGTGCTCTTGTGGTTTTTTTAAAAGCTCATTTCCCTCCTAAAATGTCACTGTGCACTAAACTGCATATTGCCTTCAATGCCTTGAGTAACCCATTAGACATCAATTAGATATGTGTTTTGGTGATATATATTTATGGTGTTTTCTGATGCAGGTTTTGGAGGAACTAAAAGAAGATAGATGAGATATGAGCGTCTACTCTCACAGCCTCAGTTCTCAGATTGGACATGATCAACAGGCACATTACAAATATTTACAACTTTTTCTTCATACTACTGTTCATTCATAACCCAGACGTTGCTTGACCAGATGTAGCACGTTGTTGATCTAGATTGGTTTGTTCTTGTTTCATACTTGATTTAACTATGGATAAAAAACAAACAAACCCAAAAACAAGTGAATCTACTGTTTATCAAGCATTTATTGCAGTTTGTTTTCTCAAAAGAAAATGTTATTTGAATGTTTTAAATTTTAAAGGCCTTTTATTTTCCATATAATTATATTTCTGTAAATATTTAAAGTCAAAATGAACCCTATTTACTTAATGCAAGTACTTGGTCTTATTCTGCAGTGATTCAATATTATTCCAAAGCAATTTTTATTTTATTATTAAGTATTTTATTAAATGCCTCCTTGAAAAAAATGTCATCAGAATTTATTCTGGCTCCATTCTGGCATAGAACTCCCACTTTTGACAATCTTAATCAATAAAATAAGTCCCTGGATAGATTCTCATTGAAAATTCTGTTTTATAGTAATATAATAAAGTAAAATGTAATTTTTTTTATGTTGACTAACTTTATATCTTTCAAAAAAGATATAATCAAAATTATGTAAAATATATTTTTTTGTGTGTGTGTGAAATTAGCTGTTACTGGACCTACTGTGAAAAAGTGCTTAAGCCATTGGCTATCGTGAAAACATGCAAACTGATTCGTTAAGGCATAAGATGTCAATTTGCTTATTCTATTACTCATTGTCTTTATATTAAAATTCTGATTTGGAAAAGCTTTGACCGACTATACTGTGACATTCCTAGTAAATTATTTAATAATGATGTCAGGGTGATGTTTGTAGGTAAACAGGTGTGTAGACCTTTTGAAGGTTGTCTTAATTAAATGAGCATGTTCGAACTGAATACAACTCTACATAATGACCTGGTTTCACAGACAGGGTTTAGATTAAGCCAGGATTAGGCTTTAGTACAACTAGGACATCCAAGTAGCTTTGATAAACGTGCCTTAGAAAAAAAACATTACTGGTGTGCATCTTGATACAAAACAATGGCACTGATGTATTTTAAGATATATCAGTGCAAGTTGCTTTCAGTTAAAACAGCTCAAACATGCATTTTAGTCTGGGACTATCTTAAACCTTGTCTGTGAAATCAGGGGAATGTGTCTACTGCTATAGTCATGATTATGAGCGCATCAAGGTTTTTCACTTGATGTAATATAAAGATATTCGATTAATCTTTTCAGGTTTAAAATTGTAACTCTTTTATCTCATATCAAAATATCACATTTTATATTTACCATACTGTATCTCACCACTGGTGTCCAAAGGTGGTATGATACGCCGGTACTAAAAAAAATGAATAAAAACCTTTTGTGTCTTTTCATACTAGTTTAAGTAAATAGTCATTTTAGGTTACAGAAGAATACCGTATAACCATGATAAATTGATTTATTTTAGTGTCACTTTATTTGTATTCACTATATATATATATATATATATACACACACACGAAAAGGTACATCTGTATTTATATATTATATTTGTAGTATTTAGAATCACATTTTATACATTTACAAATATAAAAATATATATATATATATATATATTATATATTTAGAATCGCATTAAATAAATCTCACTTCTTTTGTAATTACAAAATAAACAAATGACATCGAAATTGCAATGAACAAATACTTTAAAAAAAAAAAAGAAAACCCATAAGATATTTTACTGCTGCACCCTGAGACAATAACAATCAATCAGCAGATCTCATATGAAGTGTTCACAGATCAGCCTTCTCCTCATAGCGACAAATACAGGATGATCTTTGGCTGTCCAGGTAAGGCTTACATCCCAAGTGCATGACAGTATCAAACAGCAAAGTCACTGCTGATTCACAGGCTGTGAAAACACATGGGTATAAAGGTTTTACCTCAGCATAATGTCCAAGAAATACAGTAGGATATTACAGGCCAGCTATACATATCCTGCGAATGGCAAACAATAAATAATAGAAAATATAAAAATTAAAAATACGTTTCCATTTTTCAACATTAACTAATACATTATTAAAATCAAATGGTGTATTTGTTAACATTAGTTAATACTCTTGTGAACTAACATGAACAATCAAAGAACAGCTGGATTTTTATTAGCTAACATTAAAAAATATTAATAAACAGAGTAACAAATGTATTGCTCATTGTTAGTTATTTAAAACATGAACTAATGTTAACAAATGAGACCTTACTGTAAAGTGTTACTAATAAAACTTTTTATCTCTCAAGTCTGACTTGTTATTTTGCAATTGCAAGTTTTATAACTCGCAATTGGCTTTTTCCCCCTCCAAATTGGGAGATATATTCGCAATTGTGAGTTATAAAGTATGAATTGCAAGATAAAAACTCGCAATTCTGAAAAAAGCATTAATAAACTATAAACTAGCAATATTGTGAAGAAAAATCATAATTGCAAGTTTGTATCTCACAATCTCAGACTTTTTTTCTCAGAATTGTGATATAAACTTGCAAATACTTTTTTTATTCTGTGGTGGAAACAAGACGATACATTACACAATATTAGCAAGACTGTCAATTACCTTGAACACTTTGGGACAAGCCCAGTGTCGTTTGTAAATTCTTACAAATGTTCTCCAGACAGACCTGGAACTGCTCGTCACAGTCTTTTTTCTTTCTCCCACAGGTGTCATAGCATTGATCATGCTCATTACAGCATCTGGTCAAAGATGGCATCCCAACATCAAACTGCAGTCCACCAATGAGAATATTAAAAGAGTAAGCATTTAAATCTCAGACAATTAGTGAAAGCCACAAAACAGCAATACCAATAATGTCTTCCCTCCTCACCTGAAATCCAAACAGTGGGGAGCCACATCCGTTGGGTGGAGCGGATTTGTAGTTGGGACGAGGAACTGGTGTGTACCCTATAAACAGTGTTGCTTAAGTTACTCTGAAAAAGTAATTAATTAATAGCTACTAATTTCATCTTCAACAGTGTAATTAGATTACTGTACTACTTTTCTCTTACCAAAAAGTATTGCATTACTTATTACTTTCTAAATCCTATATCAACCTCGACCAGTCGAACATTATACAAGGATAGACATGAAATTGCTCTTTTAATTCTTTTAAATAAATAATATAAGATTGCATAAATTATTCTTGAACTGACCAAAGTGTTTAAAGGGAGAAGGTTACAATAAGATGCATTTTATCATTAGACGTTGAATTTTGATGTTAAATCCACTATTGTTTTATCTAAAATTGTTTCTATATTCATATGACGTTTTTTTATGTTTAATAGATGTCTAATCTCTCTTAAAATATGACCAACCGTCGCTGCATTTTAAGTGACACCGTCCGTCTGAACCTCCGATCAGGTCCAAAGCCATGTTAAGGTAGGCGTCTATGCTGTGAATCCCGTTCCGGATGGATTTTAAGGTCTTTCTCCAGTCTGGAGGTTTAATTTCTTCGGTAAATCCATCAGCTTTAACCACATCCATCAATATTATAACAGAGAGCAGCAGTGTAACGCTGGAGATGACACGACAGGGCATAGTCCAACAAATGCCACGTTACAGGCTACCTCTACAATCTATCTGCAAAGTACTTGTTTTATTTACGTTTCCAAAAAGAGCACTATCATGTTTAAATAGATCTGCGATAATAAGGTTGTTTTTACTAATATAAATAGTTCAATTAAGTACGAGTCGGCGACAGTGTTTACTTCCTGCTGGTATGCAGATTCTTCTTCTTTCTTCTTTGGGTTTTAACGGCAATCCTTCCTTGACGGTGCATTACTGCCATCTTCTGGTTCTAGTTATTTCCCATATACTTTAGTCATCATATTATTTGTCATTAGTCCCGTTTTAGTCAGAAAACAAATCAAATATTTCATTCCTTGTTCACTCCTACTGCAGTCCATTATACTCCATGTCCTATTAGTCCTATTTTTCCATGTCTTTTATCATATCTATCCTCTGTAATTCATATTTTGAACAATTAATAAGTCTCGGGTATTTGGAACTGATCACAAAACCCAGTTGGATGTTTCCCCATTACCGGTATATGAAGTTCTACCTTTACATTGAATAGCGGTTGGCAAATTAACTGGTGCATTTCCGGCATCTGGATATCCATCCACCCATCCACCTATCCATCCATCCATCCATCCATCCATCCATCCATCCATCCATCCATCCATCCATCCATCCATCCATCCACCTATCCATCCATCCATCCACACATCCATCCATCCATCCATCCATCCACCCACCCATCCATCCATCCATCCACCCATCCCCCATCCATCCATCCACCTATCCATCCACCTATCCATCCATCAAGCCACCCAATCCATCCATCCAACCCATCCACCCATCCATCCACACATCCATCCATCCACACATCCATCCATCCATCCATCCACCCATCCATCCACCCATCCACCCATCCCCCATCCACCTATCCCCCCATCCATCCATCCACCACCCATCCACCTATCCACCTATCCATCCATCAATCCACCCAATCCATCCACCCATCCATCCATCCATCCACCCATCCACCCCCCACCTATCCATCCACCCACCCACCCACCCATCCATCCACCACCCATCCATCCACCACCCATCCATCCATCCATCCATCCATCTATCCATCCATCCATCCATCCATCCATCCATCTATCCATCCACCTA